TGTTGCTGTCTACTCGCTGATCACATTGCTGTTAATGCGAACGAACCGCAACATTTTGCTGTTATTACGGTGATGTGCGTTGTCGCGTAAGCCTGGCGGTTAAAAAATGATGAACTCATTACATGAGAGTTATCCGCCCAGAACAGCAGCATTTATGTGTAAGTGGTGGTTGCCAATTTAAAATGACAGGTTGTATGTGTATACGCGCTTACAATTCTGTTTTCCACTTCAGGATACCAGAATATGGCGCGACACAGATCACAGGCAACCCTTGAACACTTCACCACAGTGCAGAATCCGGGTTCATTGCCATGGCAGCCGGGTTTAAGTATGCGACGACATGATTTCCTGACCAATTAAAGCACGAGTGTGATTTCCAAATTTGCGGCTAATCCCAAAGCTATAGTCGCGTTACCTACGGAGACCAGTGCGCTCTACCTCATTGTTTCTGTAGTCCTGCCTAAGCCTATATGTATTCAGGTGTGCAGAACGCATCTGTGTGGCAGTATGGCTGCCTGTTCTTGTGTCAGCCGTATTGCTTCTGTCCCGTGTTGTTGCGACCCTCGGCTGCTCCGTGCACTTCACCAGAAAAACGTGACTGCACAGCCAAGTACAAGCCAGCGGCAGGCCGGCGAACGAGCGGGGCTTTCCCCGACGAAATCCGAAAATTTGCGGCGGGTGACGTTTAAGGCTATTGTCATTTTTACCTTTACCTCTCACCCGGTTTAGACAAGAGTGTGTTGATTTCGAGATCGGTTTCGAAAACACGACGTTGATCGCTTCACGATCGACGGCTGACGTCCATATGGATCGGATATTATTGGGCGACATAGGTGGTTTGTAGACGGCACATGGGCCTACATCATGCAGTTTTTTATGACGTTATGTGCATGGTCTGTCGTGATCGGATATAAATCCTGTAAAATGCCCAGAAACTGCCGACTTCGTGGTTTTTGAACGAGCGCACGTGAGCCGCCAACACGCAATAGCGCGCCCTTTTGTCAGTGCGGCAGTCCGTTCTTTGCCTAGTCGAAATATACTGATTTTTATTCAAACCGTGTCGGATCCATAGCCTCCGCCAGCTCTGCGTCACATGGAATTAGGCTTATTTTTGGCAGCATAGTCATCTACGAACCAAACGAGCGGAAACGAGCAGAGGTAAGGGAAATGCATTGCATTGGAATGATATTGGTGTGCTAGTATTAATGCAGGTATGTGTGCAAACGTATTTATTGAATTTGCCTGCTTTTCGTTGGTCACAGCAAATAAGTTAACTGTCGGGAGCACACTTACATAGCGTGACAATGAACTGCCGGAGGATCTCAGTTCGACGTCTTTGAGATGTGATACTTGAGGATGTCATCGACGCTGTCCACCGCTATTGTGTACCTGTGTGGCCAAGTTACGTTCATGTTCGAAAGATGAGAGTGAAAGGCACCCTTCGATCTGTCCTGGAACACACGGTAACGGCCATCCCACTTTTAAATTTTCCACAATTTATACTTCCGCAGTTATGATCCCATTACCACCAAGAATACCTAAATATTTTCTTATGCTTTTTGAAATAAGTTATCCAATGAAAATGCAGGTTGGTTATTACCTTGGTTTAACCTTTATTCCTGACCCCAGGTCAATGGAACAAACCGTTCTTCTAATTTAAACTAGCTAATTGTCTAAGAAACTAACTCAGAGATGCATGAATTCGCTTAACGCTACGTTGTCGCATCAGGTTGAACAACTCCCCAGGAACTGGCTTCGTTGGGTGCAATAGCTTCATCTTGACCTGTCATAGGTCAGCGACGTTACAAGGTACAGGGGATGCAACTGAAATGATCCCAACTAGGATCCAACACGTTTTGGCATTTAGTGCGCCTTGAACTGCGACCTGCGCAATCACTCAACCACTGACATTTCCGAACGTCTGCTTTATCGATATAAAACTAATCCTGACACTCCACGGCGGGACAGGTCATCAAAATCCTGTAATCGTCTCTGCAAATACGACCCTCCCAACCGGCGGATAAGTCACGTGGTTACTGAGTGTGCACACGGTACTGAAAAGCTTGAGAATGTGAACACGCATTTGAACGGTGTGGAGCGGTGAACCCCCAGTGCTTAGCGGCCGCTCCAAAAAATTCGTTTCCGGCTAATATCTTTTAAGATTCCTAGAGATGCTGTTTTGTACGGGAACGCATCTTACTGTGCACAGTCATTGATAACTAGGCGCACTACGTGTGCGCATACATGTAGTTTGTTCATTTCCTGCGGATTATGGTGGGTCCTGTCATTTTAAGGCTAAGTTTTTTTTGGAAACACAGCAAAGCGAACTAGTTTATTGCTAAATGCCATCAAAATCAAACACGAGCTTGACTCCTAGCCTATTTACAGCTAGCCGGCTGGTCGATATGATCAGATGATGGCTGGTGGCTGATGCAGAGCTTTTGCTTTGACTTTTACGAAGGTGTACAGTTATCATACTGTTCACAGCTGAGCGTAATGCTTAAGTAGAGTAAGTATTACAAACTAAATAAACGCTGCTGCCTTGACGAAAAGCGCGTAGTACCCACTGGCAGGCCTTCCCGCCCTTTTGATACCCGGCTGCCATAGACAGGCTATCACAGAAGCTTAAGAAGGCCGTGCTATTGTTTTTGTTGTAAATCTTCAGCATAAGCCGATACGAACATTATTAAACAAATTCAAAATCAACCACCCACACAGCGTACAAAGCTTGGCAGTCACGCGCGTCCTCTTAGGGCCAAGCCGGTGGAGCGTCAAATTCCGCCGCGCACATACTCGTAAATCACCAAAACTTCGACTGGAAGCGTCAGCGAACGAACAGTAGTTTTGACCACGCTTCCACGCTGTTCATGCCTCTCTCCTGGAAGCAGGCCATTACACAAGGTATGAAATCCTTGTCAATGGTTTTAAAAAAAACAATAGCATGTGGTGGGTTAATGTCAACTAAACCTGAATCCAATGCCTTCATAGCGTACACAGGTGCCGTAACCCAGAATCTTGCGGCCAGGCCAATGAGCCACCAAACCCCGGAGGCACGAAAAAGCAGCAACACGTTAACCAAGGTGTATGGCTGTAACCATCATATGCCTGCTTTCCATGTCGAGGTCAGTTAATTTTCAGCTTCCAATTGCTGCTCTCCAAGTGCCTGTTGAGCTTTGGGCCTTCTTCTGCATCCTGGACGCTTCAAAAGAACGTTCTGACCGCCGATGCCAGCGATATTTTAGCTTCCGCTCATGAACGCTGCTGCGACCTTTTGCACTTCGTACTCTGCAGATGTTCTGAAACGCAAACCCAAAAACGCTATCTGCGCTGATTGCCCATGATAACGTACTTCCCCAATCAATCTCATGACCACCATCTTTGCAAGTTACTCCTCACTCTACGTACGCACGTGCGTCGATTCTTTTGAATTTGCCAATGTAACTAAAAACGTGGCATTGCCTTCAAACGTCACGCGTTGTCATCAAAATGTCTCCTTGCATGATCATTGCGGTGACTTGCAAATGGCTGCAACGATGAATGCTGTTGTTGCCGTGGCTCAACTCTTCCACCCGCAAGGGATGAACGAACGGAATATGAATGAAATACCGATGCTTGTCAGCGATCGCAGCACGTGCGCTCTCCCGTGTTTGACTTGAGTTACTCGGCGGGGGCGAGTCGGTAGCCCATCGGTGGCATATAAACATCGCCAAAAACTAAGCCATAACCCTTTATCAACTTAGTGACTGAACGGAAGAGTGCACAAAATGATGACAAATGGGTGGTCAATACGAACAACGAATCTGCGCATGCGGTGATGTAAATTTTGGAAAAATCCTGGCGATGGTTTCGATGACAGCGTATTGCATTTGGCACCCTTTTTCCAAACCCCGGCTGTCGGGTCGCACTACTGGCGCAGTGGTGGGTCGCACAGCTTCGTTGTCAGCCGCCTAAATTGCGGGCGGTACTACCGCTGGTCGACACTTTGAAGTTGGATTCACGCGTCCTCCGGCTCCGGCTGCCGATATGAGACAAAAGCGTGAACAACTGTCAAAATGGGAAAACCTGTGTTGCCCACAGCTGTGCACGTGACGCGTGACGCGCGTAGCCTACCACGCCACAGGCAAAACAAAGATAGCGACGGACAGAGGCGCACCTTGCGAAAACAGCCGTTTATGAAGGATCCCACTCGTACATTCCTTATATCTTGAAAATATGTTGGTAGAATGCATCGTGCTAGCATTGTTTTCATCCACATGATTCGAATATATACCACAACATTCCTGAGAATTCTATCTCTACAAAGTGAGTGGGCAAACTCCTCTTTCTAGTTCACCTATATCGTCCAGCCGCCCAACTTAGTTCTTCGTGTGTTTGTGACTAGACAAACTCGCAAAAGACAGAATCCCAACTTGCCTATGAGAGCACAGTCTTCTCCTCTTGTACACTATTTGAAGGATCACCCCTACAGTTTTATCGGGTGTCGCGAACGCCTACTAAAAATGAAGGAAACACACAGTATGCAACAAATCTTTATCTCCTGGAATACAATACACTCTGTCCATCTGTCCATCTTCAGTTAACTGGTCCAATTATCATGTCCATTATACAGCGCAGCGAAGCCACATAGAAGACACTCCAATCTAATGATATGTATGCGCGCAGTGAGCCAGAGTTGAGACCGGCGCCGGTGTCGGTCACCGACTACGTCATCATGATGTGACCCCAGCGGGCCTCTGACTAGATCCCTCATGACAGCGCGCCGTCCTCTTCATGTGAGCTCATCCCGATCAAGTCCCATTAGTCCGACCGCGGCGCCGGCTGGGGCCGACAACGACCCGCCGCCCGCCGGAGGCCAGCGCAGGCTGCCGGGCGCCGGGCGCCGCTGCGGCCGCCATAGATCCCATACAACCCGCCGGAGGGCTGCACCACGGCCGCCGAGCAGCGCTGGCCGATCACGGCCGGCCGCCCAGCAGCCGGACGCGCGCTGCCAGACGCAGCAGCGCTGGTCGACAGCGTCAACGCGCGCTCGCCAGGCTGCTGCCCGTGCTGCTGGCGGTCAGCGGCTCTTCGCCAGGCCGCGGCTGTCGCGAGCGCAGCGCCACCAGCAGCAGCGCGGCGCACACCAGCAGCGCAGCGCCCAGCCCCAGCAGCGCGAAGCTGCTGGCTGACATGATCGTCGGCACCGTCTCCACGATGGTGACGAACTGGGCGGCGATGTCGGGCGTCGTGTCCACGGCGTTGTCGAACCAGAGCATTGGCAGGTACACGGTCGGCACGTCGTAAAGGATCCTGCGGCGCGGAATACGCGATGTCAAACCACCGGTTACGGGAGGCGTCAGTGAACAGAGGCGCGCTCACCACAGAGCCGTTTCAATAAAGCATTAGAAAGTATAACACTAACACGCCGGAAGTACCTGTCTTGCGTGCAGATTGAAACGGTTCTAAGTTGAATCGGTTTTCCTCAGCACCGTGAACGTGGCTAGCGCACCTTATTAAATGAGTTGTGGCCTGGACCCGTGGCGTGGAAGTACAAAGTGAGAGGACATGCGGGAGTGTTCGTGGACATGTGTATGGTGAGGATCTTCGGTTCTAGCACCCAGCGAAGCTAGGATTTTACTGTAAGTCTTCAGCCGAGATGTGTGTAAAGTGGAACGTGGTATCGGTGTTCACATTCAGCGTCAAGTTGCGATTTCACCCAAAGTTTTCAGGTATTGATTCTCTTCCTTCTCTCAACAGTTCTTACAGACATTCACAAACCTGAGGTCATGACGTTTTGCTATCAGGGTCACCGTTGTCAAAACAAAATCATGCCATTTAATCCTTGACAAAAAAGAAAAGAACACAGGAAAGAAGTGGGTTGATAGAGCCTTATTGGGAGTCATCAGTTTGGTCGATATGTCACTTGACCACAATTTCGGCCTATAAGGATGATTTCGAGAGTTATAGAGATCTGAGAGTTATAGAGATCTTGACGGACCTCAGTCCGGATAACAACGTTTTCGTCCCTGAAGCGCTTGCATGGGGCCCATCATTTTGAACGATATGTGGTTGCCCATCTTTTGATCTTGTCCTGAACTTCAAACAGTGACTGAAAAAATACCCCACCACTGTGAATAACTCGGTGAGATTGGCCTGCGGAGGAGGTTTAGATGACATGGGAACTGGACGCCGAATACCAAAACAAACACGACCCTTACTTCGCGAATATTTAGCCGAGTTCTCTATACCTTGTCACAAATCCGCATGAAAGTAAGTAGCTGTTACTTTACACCAAGGTTAGCCAACATTTTAACCTGCCTTGAACTGAGAGCATAAAAGCGCAGCCGTTCAAGGTTAAAAAGGTGCAAAGTCTGCGTGCAGCGCAAAGTTCAGCACCGGGCCAATATCAGCAAGGCAACACACACTTCTCAACGGCCGCCGTCCTTGAGCGACGCTTTGAAAGAGAGCAGCCCGGTGGTGAGTGGCGCACGACCGATCGGTGAATAGGACCCGGTCGGCAGCTGCGGGGGTACAGAGCTGAGGGGGTAAAAACTGAGCGGGTCGGGTCGAGAGCTGACAGGGTGGAAAGCTGAAGGACTCGAAAGCTGAGGGAGTCGAGAGATGGCGGGGGGGGGGGTGAGAACTAAGGGGGTCGAGCGTTTAGGGGGTCGAAAGCTGAGGGACAGGAAGGGATGGGAGCTGACGGAGGCGGAAGCTGACGGGGTCGACAGCTGATAGAGGGGAAGGGAGGGGAGTCCGTTTTGGGAGCTGACGGAGGCGAAAGCTGAGGGGGTCAAGAGCTGATGGAGGGGGAGAGGAGTGGGAGTGCTTTGAGGGCTGACGGAGGCGAAAGCTGAGGGGGTCGAGAGCTGGTGGAGGGGGAGAGGGGTGGGGGTGCTTTGAGAGCTGACGGAGGCGAAAGCTGAGGACGTCGACAGAGCAGTACTCACGTCACGTCACTGTTGGGCTTGAGCAGCATGTTGATCTGGAACCGGGCGCGCACCGAGAGCGGCACCCCCGTCAGCTGTCGACAAAGCCGGCCCGCCGTCAAACACCGGCAGTGCGACACCGGACACCACGCTGGACACAGCCTCAAAGACGATCGCGGCGCACGCACGCACGCCCTTGCTCAGCGCCCCAAACAACATGGCTGGCCGACCACCTCCCAGGCCTAGGCACCGCCCAGCACAGAGTTTTTCCGACGTCCTGGAGGAGTGGTCCATCCTCCTGTTGTCGTCCGCGCAAGCCGCGGCACCGCCGCCCGGTCGCCGTCGTCACGTCCCCCCGGGACGCACAGCGCGTCCTGGGCCAACTCGCCAGAGCTGGCGGCACCACCAGCCGCGCACTCACCGGGTCCTGTGACATCACCAGCCACGCACTCACCGGCTCCAGTGACGCCACCATCCACGCACTCACCGGCTTCAGTGACGTCACCAGCCGCACATTCACTGGCTCCAGTGACATCACCGGCCGCGCACTCACCGGCTCCAGTGACGTCACCAGCCGCGCACTCACCGGCTCCAGTGACATCACCAGCCGTGCACTCACCGGCTCCAGATCGATGTGAAAGTTGTGGAGCGACTCGTTGGGCCGCTGGCCCACCGTCTGGCCGATGACGGCCGGGTCGGCGTACAGCATGTGCGGGAAGGAGACGAAGGCCGGCACGCCGAACCGACACAGCGTCTCGTTCAGCAGCCCTGCGGCCGTCAGCGGCGCGGTCACACGGACACGATCGGACGGACACGGACACCGGACGCGGACACCACCGGGCACGGTCACCATCCGACAAGGACGCCGTCAGACGAAAAACACGAGATATGGACGTCACCGCGCAACATCAACGCCGGACATCTGGGGCGTTCTCCCTCGGGCGCAGATCACTGTACGCACGGTCATCACTGGACATCGGTCACAGCCCACAAGACACCGTTTATGGCCCACAGGACACCGGCCATGGAGCATAGGACACCGACCACGCCCCACAGGACACCAGCCACGGCCCGCAAGACAGCGGTCTAGTCCACAGGACACCGGTCATGACTCACAGGACACTGGCCACGGCCCACAGGAGACCGGTCATGGCCAACAGGACACCGGTCATGGCCCACAGGGCACCGGTCACGGCCCACAGGACACCGGCCACGGCCCACAGGAGACCGGTCATGGCCAACAGGACACCGGTCATGGCCCACAGGGCACCGGTCATGGCCCACAGGGCACCGGTCACGGCCCACAGGACACCGGTCATGGCCCACAGGAGACCGGTCATGGCCCACAGGGCACCGGTCACGGCCCACAGGAGACCGGTCATGGCCAACAGGACACCGGTCACGGCCCACAGGACACCGGTCACGGCCCACAGGACACAGTCGTGATGAAGCGTAAACATGCGGCCAAGAGCCAAGAGCTTGACCAAGACCTCGCACGTTTCCCCACCTTATCATGGGCAAATATCCATCGATGGACATGGTTGATGATGCTGATCGCTGCCCGCATCACCTACTTCGTATGCAGCGCTGCGGTTTGCCATCACTTGAACCAAGAACCCCCTACTCGCAGTCGCCTGCTTCGTAAGTTACTGTCTCAGCCCTACATCCATCACGTAAGGGCTTTGCCTATTTATCATCCTTTGCATGCCAACAAGTCACCACATATGTCGGGGGCATGTCAGCGTGTTGTGTGCCAGCATTTGCACACGGTCAGGGCCTTGATGACGACACAGTCAGAAGACGGTCCCCGCCCAATCAGGCCGCGCCGCAGACGTGCCGGCATGTCACCGCGAGACGTGCCGGCACGTCACAGCGGGACGTGCGCGACACGGCGGAGCGGCACGGCTGGGACACGGCTGGTCCTAAGGGAGAGCGGGCCGGCACCGTCACACCGACGTCGTTCGTATGAACTCGATGGATTTGCGGCACGTCACCAAGTCGATGACACGTAACATACCAGGAGCACGGGTCGGAGGAAATTACGCGACAAGCGGTTGTTTTAACATCGGCGCCGTTTGTAGTAGCCCACACAGGAGGGGATGGCGCGCGCCGAGGCATACATCAAACGGGCGAGAGGATGTATGTTTGACAGGTACAGGGAGCTTTGACTAGCGTTTTAGCTGAGACACTTTTCTCGGAGACACGCGTCAGCAGTAGTCCTGGCGCAAACAACCCAGTGTCTGACCGTGAACGCCGACAGGCAAAATGTCAGCGGCTACATCGAAGGTGCAGTAATGGGAATGTCCGACTTCTGCAAATGACAGCGACAGCGCACCGACCAATCGCTGGCTTCTTTTGCAATCGGCGTCGCCTGCATCACTATGAAAGGACGGTCGAAGTCGTGGTGTGCATTAGAAAGCCGACAAACATGTCTGACGTCGCCGGGGACCTTTAAGTCCTCCGAGACGATCCTTTCAACAGACACGTAAAAGTATTCGCAACAAAACCATCATGTCGAACCGCACTCTAAGAGGCGAAACGTAGTCAGGCACATTAAAGGGACCGCACCTAAATAAAAATAGTTTCTCAACTACGTTATCAGTAATTTACGACATACCCTGTGCTAATTCTCATCACTCTATACTCTCCGTCTCATCATATTCCCTCATACTCATCATTCTCTCCGTCTCATACTCATACTCTCGTCATACTCTCATCACTCCATACTGTCCGGAGGTTTATATGTACGCTGCACAAATATCGCAAATTTTGGGCTTAAAGCGGGTTCCCTGTGGGGCGAAAATGCAGAAGTACCTTTTATTACGTAGAACGTTGGCAAAGGGGTTGTGGGTGAAGGCTAAAGAGACCGGGAGCCTTCACCTGGCTTAAAAACAAACCGAATTCGACCACTTTTTTGGCGGTCCCAATCCCTTTCCGACGAGATAGGAAATTGCATCGGATTGAGACAACTACCAGCGACGATCAATGAAGTGCAAACGACTAAGCAATAGGCCCTTGCACGGGCACACACCTGCAGGGGGGCATTCTCCGTTGCAGAAACACCAGTTGTCGGGGTTCGTATCGGGCCTGGCGAACATCATCTCATCAGCCTGGTACCTGTTACCGCCTAACTCGTATTTGGATGTCGGCTCTTTGTAGGGAACGCGGAGTGACCTGCAACATATCATAGAGCAGCAATGTTAGAGAAGAGGCTGCAGCGGCGTCTGCGCCCGACTCAGAGCAGCCAAGCCGGCTGCATCGTTGCTATCTAGCCCCTACCACACGCCATACAGGTGCAACTGTGCTCAGCGCCACAAAGGTTCGATCTTGCCACACGTTACCGCACGCCTGACCTGGACAAGACAGACCCGACTCGCACCTCTGAGCCGGCACGAGCAGGACCCCAACCAACACCCCGCCCGGCCAGCGTCACAGTACCCCACCGCGACCGCACCCCGACACCCGCCCACCAGCAAGCGGCCGTACCGGCAGATGTCCGTCGAGTACAGCTCGATGTACGTCTTGTCGAGCCGCGGGTGGAAGAGCTCGCCGGCCGAGCCGTTGACCATGTTGCAGGGCGCGTCGAACGCCGTCGTAGTGTTGGTGTTGTTCCAGAAGTGCAGGTCACCCAGCTGGGACACCGTCCGGCCCGTGTCCATGTTGAACACGCCGTCGTAGTAGTTGGTGCCGTTCCTCTGCGGACACGCGGGTTACGGTCGGTGGAGGGCGGTATGCGACTGCACGCGACGCCGACAGCAGGCCGAAACGGTACGCCGAACACCCCGCGATCCAGCTGAAGGGCCGCTGGGCGGCGGGCGACACACGTCAATGGGTTTGGTATACACGAACAGCAGAAGTAGCAGAATAACGCTGCGTCACGCAATAACATGACGTCTAGGCGCATGTCCACAAAAAAGGTGCAACAAATCAAAAGTTTTCATCTTTCCAGCGTTCAGGACATATTTGACTTAAAAAGGTTTCGTTAAAAAATCAACAATACATATCCTCCGGCAAACAAGCGCTGCCTTAAAATACCCTCAACGTTTATGCATCACGCGTAGTCTCGATACACGCAGATACAGGAGTTATAGGATGTGACATATTTCTTCGTTCGGCCACATAATGTGACTACATTCCGCACCACATACGACAGAACGGCTGTTTGCGGTACCACAAATGATACATGACCAACCTGCTTAAAATGAAACCGAGGTCCAGGAACGACACAAGTAGATAAGCACCTAAACCTGAGCCTGAGTCACTAGACCGCAAGTTTCGCAAGTGTAATTTATGTTAACAAGTTGTGATTACCAGCAGCGTCGCAAATCGCCATTACTCCCCTACTGAAGTCTCCACAACCGCCTCTGCAACCCCCCCCCCCCCCCCCCGCCAGACCGCCATCTTTGGCCAGCTGACGGTTAACCTTCTGCATTTCGGTTGGGTCGGACGACGCGCACGGTAAATTCCATGAGCCACTGTCATCGAACGAAACGGTCAAAGTTTCCATATGGCTTCCACTGTGGCTGTGGGGCACCCATCGCTCGACCAGTGACTGGAGCAGCACGAGGCCAATTGCAAAGAGGCGCTTGCATCGGTATTCACTCACAGCTGTCTAAAATGCGGCGTTTGTGTCTCACTTCACCTGCACAGCACAAGCACCCTTTGAACCGATAGTTCAGTAATAATTTTTCCACATCTTACGAAACATAAGACTACAAACTTGAATTTCAAATAGCTTCCCATTTTTCCAAGCTTTCAATCATCTTAATCTTTACGATCTGCTAAGTATTGGATGCCGGGTTCCACATTGTGGATCGCTGTCCAATACTTCTGGGGCCCTACCCAACACGAGGCGGGGGAGGCAGTTAAGGATTGAGAGGGCATGCTCCCCCCCCCCCCCCCCCACGGGATACCAAGTTTCATCCCTGCGTACAAGCGTTCCATTGTCCGACCAAAATGTCGTCCACAGCGCGTCCGTCGAGCAAGTGAGCAGCAGCCGACCTTGCTCGCGAGCTCTGACTGCGGCCGCCGCGACCCTGCCCACATCCGCGGCGGGCGCGTGGGCTCTAGTGGCGGAAGCGGTAGCGGCGGCGGCTCCAGTGACTCATTATCACGCGGTCCGACCCGGTCGCTGCCGCGCGTGCCTGTGTGTTTGTGTGGGCGGTGTGTCGGGCTAGTGGGCCGACCAGGCCGACAGGGAGCCCCGTCACCGGCCACGGCCGTCAGGTCCGTCGTCGTAACGGCCTCCAAGTGGGCGATACCGCCCGTCAGCTGCTAGTGTCGGCTGAAGTGGGGCGAAGACAGTCGAGTGGAGATGGAGCGGCTAAGAGCACTGTCCTCCACAAAACCCAACGACCCTTCACTGTCACAATTCCGCGGTTGGCAACCCAATGCATCCGGCGCATGGCCGATAGCGCAAACACAGTCTTCGTGCTCGGGGTGAGAACACCCACGAGAACAACGTCCATATCCACACGAGCGCACTGACCGTTGTCGTCGACCTGACGACGGCAACAACCCTGTCCCCTGAAACCCTGCCGCCAACGGCACCGTTGTCTGCCGCCGCCGTCTCAGACATCCACATCAGTCGCCCCGCTGGCGACTGCCAGGTCGCGCCAGCACAGCACGATCAATCACCACCCGCCAGCCGGGACACACAGCAGCCGCCCAGCTGGCGACGCGCCGACTGCCAGGTCGCGTCGGCACAGCACAATCAATCACCACCCGCCGGCCGAGACACACAGCAGCCACGGCGTGGCGTCACCAACCGCCGCAGCCTGGTGGCGACCCGTCACAGGCAGGCGTGACGCGTGACGTGCTTCGCGGGTGAAGAGAGGACACGCTGCGAGCTAAGTCACCAAATTAATGGAATTTTTATCACGCGGGTGAAGAGAGGCCACGCTCCGAGCTAAGTCACCACATTAATCGAATTTATTATCACGTGCATGGGTACTGTAAACGCTTTGACTGCGTGGTAATATAGTGCTGATATTCGAATCACTTCAACGTGAAAAATGCATTAAGGTAATTTTGTGCGCAATTTTCCCTTCAACATCATAATTCCCTGAATTAGTGGCTCTCCATGCGCTAAACTTCGCGGCACCGTGCGCCGAACTCCAAAAGCTGAACTTTACGGCGCACGTGCGCGCCGAGATTTCGGCCACGATGTCGCTGCCGCGCCGGACATGTTCGGCGGAACGTGTATTTTTCCAGTCTAGGCGGGATGGCCTTAATGCGTCAGTATCGTGCCTTGATGCGTCAGTATCGCGCCTTGATACGTGAGCATCGTGCCTTGATGCGTCAGTTTCGTGCTTTGACGCGTCAGTATTGTGCCATCAGTGTCACGGATTGACATCTGCGGTGTTCACCGCAATTAATTACTTTCGATGGCAAGCTAATCAAATATTCCTCCGCTCGCTCCCCTCCTCCGCAGGCGCCCGCCGCACAGTCGCAGCGAGCCGTGGGGAGGGTGGACCCTCTGCTAGTGCACTGCCGCCTCAAGCCCGCTCCCGCATGGTACATAGTCAAAACTCGCTACCAGGCAAGGGACGCCGTTCCTGGGCTGTTTCCAAATATCACCCCCCGATCGCTTCGCCAAGCGACAGTGTCCCCAGAGACGGGTCATGAAGAGCACGTTTTTCACTGAGAGCTGTGCTTGCTATGGCGAAGCTGAGCTATGGCGCCTTAATTATGTACTTAACATTATGAACTATTTCTCCAGAGCTACCAAGGACGCCTCCAGTCCGTTGTACTCCTTTACGTGCTCTTAAAATCGGCAGTTGGTGTACACTCCAGCCGCCCGTTGTGCATTTTTGCGTGCTCTCCAAGTCGGGACTTTGTATACAACCGAACGCCTACTGCAGACAGTGCTCCCATCTAGCTGGATGGAAATCGACTGAGGTCTGACCAGCGCTCCCAGCGTCGATTCCTCCTGCGGCCACTGATAACCGAATTCATGACGGCACACATGACTGTATGTGTGTCAGTCATGACATGACATGACAGACAGTCATGACATGACTACAGGAGCACGGCTTTCCTTCGTGCTTGGGAAACAACTTAGCAAATTACCGGCTCACTACGCTCGGCCTCTGCATAGTCATTCTGAGCAGGCAGCGACTTCCTGTGAGAGCCAACCGTACTTATGTTTTCTTTTAATTATGACGTCTCCGACGCCACCAAACGCGCAAGGGTAGAGACACCGAAGCGGACCATACGCGAGTATAAGCGATAACTTTTGGACCAGTCTCAGCAAGCTGCTGACCGGGACTTCCATGAAAAAACCAAAAGTTCAAACAAATTAGACTTTCTGTTTACTCGCCCCCAAACAGCTTTGTAAACGGGCGCATACAAAAAGAAGCCCACTCGGAGTTATTGCGTCATCCAGCACGAGTCTGCTACCGCGCAACCACGTTCAACTATGTACGCAGTCAGATTAAGAATATGAAACACAGTGGTATTCTACTGCACTATCGTCATCTCTGCTGACGTAAGGTCACGCCAGCTCAGATCAGGTCACGTTGCACGCTGTACCTACCACGTTGCTCAAAAACGTGTCCCACTCTCCAATCAGCACAGGGCTAAGCTGTTGACGGTTGTTGCCAGGCAACGTGCGACCACACAACTGTATCCCGAGTGATGGTCATGAGCCTCCACCAGGCCAGGTGACGGCTCCCATACGAAGAATCCGACAAATCAAGATAACTGATTGTGCGTTTATCTTCGACAAACGGAAACTCACGCCGTAAAACCAACCGAACTTGTCGAACGGTATGGAGATGTTGACCAGGTACTTGAGCACGGACGCGGCATCCAGTAGCGGGTCGTCGTAGCCGTCGAACAGGAACTCACGCACCGTGCGCGTTACGAATGGTTTTGTATCCACGGAGTTCACCATCTCGTTGAACATGACCTTCATGAAGTCGTTCAGGTCCCGGATCAGGGCGGCGGCCGCCTGCAGCGAGAGATGCGTGTCTCGGGTCAGGGTGAGAGCGACCCCAGTACGACAGGCGCGTGTCTCGGGTCAGGGGTGAGTGAGGCCCCAGCGCAAGAAGTGCGTACCTCGGGTCACGGGTGAGCCCGGCCCGAGTACGACAGGCGCGTGTCTCGGGTCACGGGTGAGCGAGACCCTAACACAAGCGCGTGCTAACACAAGGTCAGGGGTGAGCCCGGCCCCGTTCGGGGCACCAGTGGCGGGCGACGGTCGCGGAGAAACGCCTCGAATCCAAATATTACGGAGGCGTGGGGAGAGGGCACGCAGTAAAGCACAGGGGCTCGCAGACCTCAGCCGGCTGAAGCAGGCCTACGATCATGCCGGAAATGTGGAGCATAGCTGCATGGACGGCGTGCTGAAGCGCCATGTTAGGCGCATTTCCGGAATACAAATGCCAGCATACCGTTTGTTTTGGTAAAACAGTATGCCATCGGTGAGCTGAGCGTTGCGAGCTGCCCCTGCTCGGCTGTCCGCGGATATCATCTGATCAACTGGGCATATCGGGGGCGATGCTGTAGGACAGGTCAGCCATGCGTCGTGTGCTTCGGTGGGAAAATTTCAGAAGCTCTCACAAAGCCGCTGACATTAATTACTAAGCGCATGTACCGAGCAGTGCAAATATGCTAATTACTTCTTGGTGTTTACATATATCACGCATTTCACATGTATCTCTCGACGTGTGAAAATGCCTCCGAGACGATGAAGTACTGGCCTGCGCGGACGGGCGGCGTGGGAATACAAATGAAACATATGCCGTGTCGGCTGAGAACACGCATGCTGCAGACCGCACGGGCTGATTTCACCGCGCACCCTACTCGGCATCCCACTGGCTACCGTTCCGGGATGAGTGGGTGAATGGGATTTAATTGGAGCCGAAATGCAGCACCGGCGGACAACCTCACAGTGTGGTGTGTCCGGTTCCGCAGACACCTTGTGAAGAGTGCAAGTTCAGCCACGAGCAAAAAACCGATCAGACTTCGGTGACGAGGCAGGTTTTATGCACCACACCATGGCAACAGGACTTCTCTTATCTTATGGGTCCTCGTCCGGCGTTCAGTGAAAAAGAATAGTTAAGTTTTTATACCTACAACGTTATGGCAGCTCTTGCCGATATCTCGCGGGCCGGGCAGACGGGACCTGCTGAGCGCGGTTGGCCGCACCGCACCACCACCGGTGGCACCAGCTCACCAGCAACGGCACGTTGAGCGTGGTGATGTTGTCGTCCCGGCTGCCGACCGACATGTCCGGCTCGAAGTGCCACGTCTTGATCTGCATGTACGTCACCGTGCCGTTGTCGTTCCAGGTCATGTTCACCTTCAGGTGCTTCTCGCTGTGACGGGGGGTTCGGCTCGTCAGCGGCGGGACAACATCAGCAGCTGGCGGGCCCGCGGCTCGCCACCAGCGGCGCCGGCTCGCGCATGTCCGGTCCGGCCGCCGGGACGCGACGCCCGCCCTGTCAGCAGGCCGGCGGCTGGGCTCAGGTGCCCGCCGGCCGGCCGGACCGAGCGTCGCGGCGGCGCCAGCCGGGAGCCGCCCATCACACAGGGGTCGTGCGGGGACGGCAGCGCAGCCCGGGGGAGTGGTATCTCGGCCGCCGCTATGACATCGTACCGTCTTGTTTCGAGAGATCGCGCCGGCCGAAAAGACAAAAATATCTTGCGTTATGAGCATGGAAACCAATCGTTCCCGGATATACATCGCGCCTTTATTTTCGCCAACCATGTACTATTTCAGTTGTAATATTCTCGCACAGTTTTGGTTTCAACATGGACACTGCTGAAGGCTGCTTCTACCGCGTGCATGCACTGAGGTTCAATGCTCGTGGCAGTGCTATTGCCACGTTGATTCCATTTCCACGTATACGCCATACTGACATGTCGTCAAGGTCATTTAGAGGGTTTACCACCACCATACGCAGCGGCTATCACCAGAGAAAAAGGGCATCTTAAATATACAATCGCGCTTGGCCATGCACTCTACATTTTGTATTTTTAAAGAGTAATACCAGTCGCATTACGAGAGATAAAGCCTGGCATGGGCACGGCTCACAAAATACATCTACTGCGGTCCAGGAACAAGACCATTATTTTTCCTGTACATATGACACGCTATTAAGAGGCAACAGGAACAAAGCTTAAGCTGCGCTGCAAGTACGCCAGGATTGTCTCATCCGGCACGACTGGCTTTGCAGGAACCGGCCGGAGAAGCCAAGGCCGGCCAGGCTCATGCCGCTCGGCCGGCGAGACTCCGAATCACGCCTGCAATCTTGAGTCAAATCTTACCTTTGAAATCCGAAATTCCCCTGCGATAAAGTCTCACGAGAGGTACATATGAAACACCGCCCAGACATTTCCCAGCAGCACTGGTGTTGTGTTCCTGACACGCGAGCCTCGCCCGACGGTCGTCATTCGCGAGCCTTCGCCGGACGAGACAGCCTCACAGTCTACTGCCTCCAGCTCCACGCATCCTAAACCGACATTCTTCCCTTGGCTCCAGACGGAACAGCAGCGGACTTTCCCCTGTCAGTGTACGGGTCGGTGGGGAGACCGTGCGGGAGGGCCTGGCCGTAAAGAACCTTGTGTGTGGTATTTGACCACCACCTGAGCTGGGACGCCCACGTCAGTGATACCGTCCGTAAGCGCAACGGCCCCCTGATCGGTCTACGCCACTCGAGACGTTTCCTTACACAAAGAGTGACGCTGACCATCGTGCTGCGTCTCGTTATCCCGTGCGCGAGGTACTGCGTTGCAGTTTTTGGCCAGGGTCAGCTGTTAACGCCACTAGACTGCGGATAGTCGCTTACTTCGCTGTCAGCTTAGTTACTGATCCCCAAAAGCATGACCATGTGTCTCGCACGGAATGTCCTGCACCTTGCCACGCCTAGCCAAATGTGCGGTGTGCAAACTGTTATCGCTGCGCTCAAAGCCCGTGACCGAGAGGGCCTGCGGATCTTACTTGTTTGCAGCACACGCCGGTGCGCGGACCTGTGATTGGTCTAACCGCAAATCTAACTCACTCCTATCGAAGAGTACAGCGTTCTCAGCAGTCGATAGAGAAGATCGTCGTTCCCTGTGCTCACGGCAAGGTGGGCGGCGTACGAGTGTATAACGCACGTGTCCGGTTCGGTCCTGGCGGGAAATATAAGAGCAACACTTGAGCAGAATTTATTAATCGAAGCTCCATCGACCTACGTCTCTCATGAATAAAGGATCGTGCTGCACTTTTCGGGAACCTAAGATGACATTTTGGGATGATGCAGGAGGTGACTGGGAGACGGAGAAGTGCCAAATCCAAACGTGAGTTACGAGCCAAATGTGACAATTGGACACCAGCCCAGTTCACCGGCCTTGTGTGACTTCGTCACATCCGTCAAAATCACAATATCGTACCCCAATACAGCGCTGCGTTAGTGGCGCAATATGCAGCCTACAAGACTTATCAGCTAAAATTTAAACTGCCTGAAATTGCCACAAACGACCGAATAAGAGGGCCAAATGCTTGCTTCATTTTACTATGCCTCAGATATGAGGAGGTAACAGGAGCGTGGTGTCAAGTGTGACATGAAGGTTTTGAGTGGCGCTGACATGTTCCGGCCCCGTTACATTAATTTAATATTTTACGACGCTTCGTTAAATTCATTTAATATTTACGAGGTTCTGTGACATGCCTGTAATATTTGATCGTCAAATACAAATGATACACTTTAAAAGGTTACTTAATGAAGGTTTTTTTAAAGGACATCAGCCATTTCGGGAGCCACTATCTCAGGACGCATACCCAAAACTACATGCGCACGCTTTATGAGACAACAACCATTTCGAGGCGCCCCAGACTCCGTGTGTTTTGCACGCAAGCCCTTTCACATTGGTAAACGTGGTCCTCTTGTCCACATTCCTGTCTATCTCACTGACAGCTGCAGAAGAGTGACTGACGGAGACCGCACTCGCCGACGGTCCGCTGACGGAGACTGCGTATGCCCCCTTTGTTGACCGCATACGCCCACAGACATACCGGGTGACAGTTGCCGTTAGCTGAGACCAGGCTGGAAGCATCCGATGCCAAAACGTGAACCAAATGCGTAAAACCAAATGCGCACCGACATCCTGCAGTGCATAACATTTTCCCCTATAAAGCTTGGCCACAGCTGTGGACACACTACCAACACTAAGCATTAATAATGCTCATGGAACCACTGAAAAGTATTTGTCATACGCTGTACGTACCTACATACTCTGCAAACAGTCCTCTTCACAGCAACAATCATGGCCGACCTGTAGGCCTCTATCTCGGCCAACGCTTGAGCTCGCGGTCCTGTAACGTTGCTACTTTTGGCGCGCGCGTTTGGAAAGACACTAATCTACAGCGCATAAAGCCACGGCCAGAGACCGCGTACGATTGGGTGCTCCGGAGATAGTTTAGGACTACAGTTTTCAATACAATTCGGCTACTACAGACTGCCGCAATGCTCTCCAGTACAGTAACTTTGAAACCCAGTTCGTTAGCTATTTCGTGGAGATTTTGTGCACCCACGTAAACTTATTCAACGTTTAAGTGATGCAATCGATGCCAATCTGGCAACATGAAAATCAGGACGATCACTCTTTTAACTACAATCCTTAAGATTTAGGGAACGAATCTTAGAAACCAGATCTCATATCTTAAACGGGGCGCGTCTATCTAGTGATATCTACAGTCAAATATCGAGCTAAAAGGTAAGAGTGCCTCCTCCAGTCATTTTTAAAGGTGTGTCCCATCTTTTTTGTACTTCTCACTTAATTTTACATCGCACGCGTTCGATTCGGTCAGTAATATCAGTTTTCTCGAAATCCTCTTGAATAGCTCAGAGTTTTAATTTGAAGTAACCGCCGACCCTGCGGAAGAAATTTCATTGGACTCCCTACATTCCATTTACGTTGCTTTTTCCGACGGCGTGTTCTATCATGATTGCAGCACACTAATGTGTCAAATTATTTGCGTAATGAATGTTACAAAGCTTGCAACACTGTTTAAACACAAATATAAGCGAACATGAGGCCGTTATCCCGTGAAGTAAACGAGACGTTATACCATGGCCGTAATTTCTATCATACACAGTTTACAGTAGTGTTTCTTTTTGAGGCGCACTTTGGCTTTGGGAATGGGAGTATCACATCATCCACGTCACGCAATGGTTCAAACTTCAACCCCTGCGTTTCTCGGTAACAAGCCCTTACCCTCTGGGCCAACTACAAATGTTCTTTCATTCGCGCCGGTAGAGGTGAAGGCGTATTTAATCCGGTGGACATCAATAAGCCACTGGTGGAGAAAATCTACTGCAAAGTTACCAATTGAGAGGAGTTTTTTTTCGCTGGGCTGCCAGACCCGCGAAATACCGCACGTAAACAACATACATTTCTACGGGTGCGTGACGGATGACAGCCAGAGCCCTATAATAACAGCGCAACAGCACGGTAGCAGCGCCGACGGAAGAGTTTTGAGGTCAACTCGAAGATAAGCAGGCAGCGATGCTGAGCGAGATGAGCGGATTACATAGTCGTACTTCTAGTACTTTCAAGCGTGTGGCTCTGGCCAGATTACCACAACCGGATTCCCTCAAACTAACTGTTCAGAGTTTGAAATAAAAGGTGGTCTTGCCTATCACGGTCAAAAATGATGAGCGACAGTGAAAAGAGTGAATAAAATAGCGCGTAATACCTCCTATAACACATAGAACCCATATATCCTGACTGATCAAAAACAAACCTGCAGACACTATAGGGGTGTAGTTTTGCAAAATTAGTTGGTGGCGGTGAGCTGAACAGTGAAAATAACCCTATTACCACCAAATTACGACAACAAATAACTTTATAACGGATTTAGCCCGTTCCCTTGTCAAAGTTTTTGTGTGTGGGGGGGGGGGGGGCGGCGAGTGGGTATACCACATGTGTGGGACCTTTGCGTTTCTGATGTCAGCACATCCGTGATGAACAGGACGTCGCAGCACTCGTGCTGCCACAAAATGCAGATAACATAACAGTGGAGTGTTTCATAAAAAGGTGTTGACTAGGGTGACTGAGCAGTTAAAATGTATGAGATCTTCCTCAAAAGTACGCCGCCAAGCGAGTTTTCCACGGATTTGCCCACTTGCTTCGCAAAGTTGGGGAGGCTGGAGTTTAAGTTTGGGGGACTACTATTGATAAGGAAACTACAACCCGGCAAGCTGAGGTTGTTAGTTCAATGGTTACGAACTCAGTGCACGTGAACATGACTTGTGACATGAAAGAGAGAACGCAAGTCACTAGTGAGAGAAATGACGAATGATAGCGCCCTGCCCTGATACGCCATTTTTTGTGAAGCGGACTGATAGCAGGGGTGGATACTCCGCCCCCCCCCCCCCCGCTGCCGTTTCCAAACTTAGAAGGATAAAGTCTAGCGTAAAACGGCCGAAGATTGGTCTCGACGAGATGGCTCGATTGGTGAAACTTTGTTGTTGGTAGGCCGACATTTGACCTAATTATGTCGGGTCATAGGTCACATTTTCCGCAGCATCGAGCGTGTTCAGCTTTACATGGTCATAGTTACCAGATCATGTCCTATAGCGGCAGGAACCACAAACAGGCGTGTTTATTGTGCAGTTCTGATTATAACGGCGGGTAGTTTCATGTGTTTTAGCACGTGCTTTTGACGTAGGGCTCCGTTAATGCACCAGTGCAGACCCAGCGTGTGCGGTCCACGACATCGTCGATTGTCACCCACCACCCGCGCCGGCCGAAGACAGCCGTGGAGCGTTACACTGTGTTGTACTGTAGCTCGATTTAGACCACATCCTCTTGCACTTGAAGTCAGCGTGGGAGAAGGAAACGCTGGACGCTTACCGGTTCATCGGTGGCGCACCCATGGGTCGGACTGTTTCAAGATCTGCTTGTAGGTTGTAACTGGTACATTCATCTACATTGTGCGGTGAGTTTCACGTCTTTCTCTGCTCTAGTTACTGATACCTCACATCAAACTGTGAATCGCACGACAGCACGATTGCCTGTATGCATCAACCCACAGTTTCGCCAGTAAGATTGTCCGTTTTCGTCCTCCTTCAGTATCGCTTAGCATCGTGTCGACGTGACGCCCAAGTGCCAAGACGGCAGCCTGGTTCTAACCATGTTCTTCAGCTCTTTGACGATGGCTGCAAGGACATAAACCCGCCAGAAGTGTTGCTGGGCGGGTCAGTCCCGATCGGCGCGGGCCGCGGAAGCTACCCAATGCCCGGTTAGTTGGCCCTCGGACTCGCTTGGCCGGCTGCTTTGATGGCAAATACTGTTGCGGTCTGATGGAAGGCTGCGCTGTACGGTGCCACCTATGATGCCTGGAGCACCACTCTCAACCGTGGTGATACTTATTGTCAAATCTCGTTCATTTTCTCTAGACTTCTGCAACACAAAGCCCTTTTGCTTTCCGTTCACAAACGCAGTTATTAACAGAGGTAGAGACAGGGAGCGATCGCGTGCCTGCGATCAAGATAAATGCACGTCGTTGCGACGCGTAAAATCCCCATGTACTTGTGTGGCGCGCAAGGTTCCATGACTTGAGAGCACTTCAAATAGGACCTTTCTCCCGCACATGCGTTTGCCAGGGACCTTGTACCCCTCAGAAAAAAGCCCGCAGCAGCTCTCCACCAAATCGACGTCGCTCGACAATCACCGACAGTGACCCGCCTGAGCACTCGAGACCCGGCCGGTGGAGTGGGCGCTTTCATGAGCACTCATTCGGGGCCTGATCCCACTGCTGCCTGCGGGTACTAAGTCGAGACCTGTGACGCTCGAAGTGACCCTCCACAGGAACCCAGGTTGCAAGTTCGAGCACGGACATGCCGCCCATCACGCAAAAACATTATTGAAACCAACGCTGAGTCAACATCGCCGGCACTGCTGACGAAACATGAGACGACGAACTCACCCCCATATGAAGTGGACAAGTATAGCGTGAATGGCCTCGCTACACAAGGCAACGTCTACCACCCTACTATTGATACACGTTGCCACGCATGACAACGATATAGAACTGGAAGAACTACGGCTTTCTTCCATGGGGCAATCCTGCAAGCTACTAGCTTGGACTTCCTATGATAAGACGGTAATCAAGGCAGATATAATGCAAGGGCATTAATCGGAATAGTTGGATTTGGTTTTAAGACTGAAAATTGGTCCGACCTGGATCTCAAAACACGACACCGCCAGACATTCATCTTCAAGGAAACTATGGGCAAACCATAACATATGATCGCATAATTTACGGACAAGTCTCACCTCACCTACCAAGGATTTCTGACACAAAACAGGCCAGCCCGTCCCACTGCAGCGTTGAATGACAGCTGACCAGTTAGTGGGCTCACGCGCCCCTCCAAGGTACCGCATTACGGTCCGCTACCCGGCTCGGACACTCCTGGCAGCGGACAGCTCCAGAGCTGAGTAGCCGAGACCATGCACGGCGCCATACTGTGATGGGCAATGCCAAGCTGGACACCGGGGCGCGCTGCGGTTCTGTTCCGGCTGAATCCCTGCTCCAACAATTCTTACGGTTGCCGTATTTATTAACGGATGCAGTGCTTTCCTGTACACCACATTCTCGGTCTTACCCTCCTGGAGCAGGATGACCTGGTCGGCGGCCGTTCATTTTGGAGCTGCCAACATAAAACTGAACCCGGAAGAACACTGGCTCAGCCATGTTAAGATCCGTCACCTTCAGGGATTGGTCTTGACTCTTGCTCATAGTAATGGTGTAGGTCTGGTTGACACGACTTTGGATCCGTTTGAGTTTTAAGCGCACGTTAGACGAGATTTCCGGGATTCTCGAGATGAAGACCCTGGCACCCCTGGTCTCGCCTGTCGCGGTGGTCGCCAGTCCAAAGTTTGGGGATCCACTTTCGTACGAGCATGAGTGCCTTGATTGAACACAAGTTGTGTGATGGCATTCCTGATCGCTCTCGGTTGCCCGAAGTTCCAATGGATATTGCAAAGCTTCCTCTGGGTGTGGGCCAGTGTTCACCGACTTGCAGATCCTTGTCTCTCGACGATGCTCCCATATTATCAGCGGCAAAGTCCTTCGGCGCTAGGACGACCTACTGAGCCAGGCCGGACCAGTCGGATCACTGAGCCGGGTCGCACCTTAGTGCCGTTCTTCCAGGTCCGGAAGACCTTGGCCAGGAAGCCGTTTACAAATTCGACGTTTTCGCCAGAAGGAAGCTCGGTTTGTCTGTCTAGTCTCGGGATCTGGCCTGTGCCAACTCGTAGTTGTTGGATGATGAACTGTCCTACTATTTATTTGTTTTGGTGCATATATCGTGGTGGCGAGATACTTAGTGCTGCTCTTTTCGCTACTTATATTCGTCACGCTGTGATCCCAGTGACGCCACGGATCAACAATCTTGTAGGAATCCCTTTTTGGAACCATCCTTAATCTCAGTGGGTTCTTCTGATCGCTGTATGCCGGTGTTAACTCCAGCCGGCTCTTCACAACAGGCCGAAACGAAATCAATGAGCACACGGCAGCCGATATTGCCCGCTTCTCTAAGTTTGAAATGACGCGGAGTCGACCGTCGCCAATGCTTACCCATGGGGCGGGTTTCATCGAACCGCGCCACGCATGGTAGCCCGGCGGGCACCGAAGTGTGACATAACCCTTTTCCTCGCCACGCTGATTTAATTCAAATCAGTTGAGGTTTCGCGGGCTAGCGCCGACCGTTCTCGAGTTTTTAGAGAGCAAACGACAGAATTTCTCATGCATTATGTACGATGTGCTACTTGTGCAATCTAATGCTTTTAATGCAACACTACACATCACACAAAAGTTGTAGCATTAGTGGTGGATGCATGATTAAAATCTGATATGGAGATAACAAAATATTGTCAGTCACATTGAACACAAGTGCATTCGCCAGCCACGTGATCACATGCGTGTACGCACGCATAGGGCACGCCGCAGCATCGTGTCAGTAAGCGGCACTCACCTGTACACGTATGGCCCCAGCTCCTCCAGAATTGGTTTCGCCTTTTTACCAATGACGTCATCAGCATTCGTGACGTTCCAGAAGTAGAACTTCATGTAGATGGGGACGTCCATCGTGTGCCAGAAGCTGTAGCCCTCCGACGATGGTGTCAGCTCCAGCTTCTACGCAAGTACCAAACACGAGCGATGAAAACGAAACAGTTCCAAAACATGTGTGGAGCTACAATAAATTAGTGTTATCTGAAAAACTTGAAAAATGAGACATTTATAGACTACCGCCATGCGTGAAAGGTGCCCCACCGCACATCCATAAACTGCGGAAGACAGTACAAGGATGTGCGGTGCGGCACACACGAGCGGCGCCGGGTGCCTCCAGCTAGCGCAGCATTTTGAAGCGTTCCGACTGCAGACGCTTCTTACACACCAAACGTCATCAAACGCACTCTCTTGCACAGCAGGCTTCTCATGCAGCCCTCGCTTGCACCAACGTAACATATATCCGTTCATACAGATGAACGGACAAGATATGAGCCGCGAACGCCGGGAGCGTAATACCAGCTAGCGAGGAAAACCAGACCCCGCGAATAGCACGCCAAGCCGGCTGGCTTAGTCATACATGCAACAACGAGGAAGATGGCACACGCACCGCGCCCTGTCGCCAACAGGGCGCGCGCACAATTCCCCCGCCAGTGGACAGAGCCGGTTGTCTGATGTGATCGCGCCGCACGACAGCGCGGCCCACACGACAGTCAGCTCGGCTGCCCGCTCCGCCGCCCAGGGGCTCCGGTCACCGCCATGACCCTGCCGTGGAGAGACAATGGGGGGGGGGGGAGGGGGAAGGGCAACCCATCCCATCAAGCCTGGAGTTTGGCTC